ATTCCTTGTCAAAGTTAAGAATAAAACCACACAAATTCCTCATTATTTCTATTGTTTTGAAGCAACTATCAATATGTATTTGAGGTGGAAAGATTATATTGATTCTATTGAATCAATTGCTAGGTCTGCTGCTAGGAAAGTTGGTTCACTGTTTCGTGCTAGACCAGGGGTGGGCAACCCTTGGTACATGTGCCAAATATGGCACACAAAACTTATTCATTAGATTCCCTTTTTGACTTTTTCTTTCTCCTCTTTCATTTATATAATTATCTCATGTATTTTTATTTTCTGCCCTTTACAGATTGTGTAGAATGTCACGATCATCAGCTCAGAAATGGTATCATTCAAATGAAGAGGATATTAGAGAATTTAAAGAATACTAGACTGAAGAATTTGGCATGATTAAGAAAAATGATAAAGCCTTACATTTTCTATTCCAAAACAATTGTTTGTAGGACTTCTGTAAAGAGACATTTTGAAAGTGTTAATAAGAACTCAAGCAATAAAAACTAAGGAGTAAAAAAGAGAATTAATTTCTCATGAACTGAGCAAGACAAAAAAAAAACAGGCTGATACTTTTATGATCTTTATTTCAGGTAGTTCCAGTTCCAACTTATTGCCCAACATGAAAAGCCACCAAGTGATGGGGAGTATATTAAAGACGCATGGCTAGAATGTGTGCCTTTCCTTTCTGACAATTTTTCAGAAAAGGAAAAGATTATTCAGTGCATTAAAGATTTGTCTGTGAGTAGGAAAACAGTTAAAGATAGGATACTTAAGTTGGAAAAGAATGTTACATAGCCCTTTGGTGGGGATTGGTCTTGAGGTGACGGTGTCAATTCACTCACATTGTTGGATCTTCTCTCAGCCAGGGGATCACTAGTTGGTTTTAGTTCATAGATAAAAGAAGAGAACTTCAACAAAGGAATTGTAACTTAACTATTATTTTATTTACCACTTTGACATGTACATTTTTAACTAGCCAGTAGGGGTTGTTCTTGGGGCAATAATGTTGATTCACTCACATTGTTGGATCTTCTCTCTCTTCTCTTTCTTCTTTCAGCCGGGTGATTGCTAGTTGGTTTTAGTTCAGAGATAAAAGAAGAGAACTTCAACACAGGAATTTTAACTATTATTTTATTCACCATGTTGACATGGACATTTTTAACTAGCTAGTGAGGTTTCTCTATCACCCCCACTGAGGTGCAAGTTCTCAAACACAAAAAAAAAATACGTCTATGTTGTATGATGAGTAAGACTTAACTCCCTGAAATCCCTTTCTGTATCTTTCATTCCCATGCTAGCTTTAGCCAATCAAAAATGGCTTCCTTTGTTTTCCTGTATCTGACCTCAAAGGTCAAAAATGATGAAGTCAGAGGAGAAATACAATTCTCTAAAAAAATAATAATCTACTATTATTTAACAGGAATTCAGCTTTGTCTTTATGTAAGTTTTTTTCTATTTGTGTTGATGAAAGTATGGACATTACATCACCAGTTAGACTAGCCATATTTTGTAGAGATGATGAAGTATGTGAAGTGATGGTGGCCCTTGTAGCACTACCTGAGCGTACTACCAGGACTGAAATATGTAAAGTAGCTATGAACAAATTATTTGCTCAACAAATTCACATTTCAAAAGTAGTATCTGCCACAACAGATGGTACCCCCAGCATGACTGGTGAGAAGGCAGGATTTGTAAATCTGTTTGCAAAAGATGTTGGTCATTCACTGATAGGTTTTCATTGCCTCATACAGGAGGAGGCTTTGTGTGCAAAATCTGTCTCACCAGAATCTGTCTTATATACTTATAAGTCTACCATTAGTCCATGCTTTGAATATTGATGCTACATCTGGTCTGATGCTTCTGTTATATATTTAGAGATTCTTAATGAAATCCCAAATAGAATCTGCAATGTTATTGGTTCTGACCTGGCATCTTGGCTTCAGTCACTTTCCCACCACCATAATGTACCTTCCCAGGGCCTTTTCTATAAATACTTTCATGATAACTGTTTTTATGAACTTTCCTCTATGGTACCTAGATTTATGAATTTAAATGCAGTACTAGATTCGTGGCAAGATCTCATCATTTTACAGTTGAAATGGCTACATGTAACCCTAATTTTCATCTCTCACTTGTCTCACTTATGAAACACTCTTTCAGCTTCTTGCTTCCTGGTCAACTTTAATCTTCAAAAATGTAAATGCTTTGTAAATCATTATCTTCTGTCTTCTTAATTCCTGTCCTTTTATTGATCTAATGGTCATTTAAGTTAAGCAGTGTTGAACCTGGTCATTACCTAGATGGGTGACCACTTGGGAATACCAGGTGCTGTAGGCTTGGATGTGCAAATGGCGTAATGGTTAATGGCTCAGAATTGTTAATCGAAGAGCCAAGTTCTAATCTGTGTTTGGTTTGTTATATTCACTTACATGCAAATACCTTTGGGAAAGGTATGAATCCACCTCTTCTCCCTCAGGATATGTGTTAATTAGTAAGACTTGTATCACTAAACAATTATTATCTCAACACAAAATTCTAACAATCTAAAAATATTTTCTGGCTTTAAATAACCTGCAAAATATTGATAACACAAAATAAATAACCTGCAAATTATTGATAACTCCAAAGTATTGAAAACACATCAATCAATTTTATTGATCTCTCTCTTTAATAATGTTGTTTTTTTTTTTTTTGTTTGTTTTTCTTGTATTCTGTCATATTAAGTCTTAGAGGCTTTATTACCTTGCTTAGGATGAAATGTTTAAAAAAAGAAAAAAGAACTTCGTTGAGATCATGTCTTTCACTATACAATATTTCGTCTTTAGTGCTGTTGCTTAGGAATATTTCACTAATAAAAATAGACAATTATTGCTGAATAACAGAAAAAAAGCAATGATAGTAGAACACATGAATACAAAAACTATTATTCTGAGTTTTATTTCATTCTATGGATTCTACAGTTTTAAGTATGGGGAAAATTAAAAAAGAACAAAACAACTGAGCAATGGTTGCACTATTTCAAATTAATGTAGTGAATGGAAAATCTTTATTTCAATGGAAGCCAAGAACAACTACAAAACTACTTTCAATGTTTTAAGAATAAAAGATTTAAAATATATGAGCTAGTGAATATAATTTAGAACAAAAAGGTTTTCTCTAATTTTAATGTATTATGAATAAATATTTACATGTTATTTTTTTAAAGTCACAGAAACCAAAGTAAAGATTTTTAATATGTTGCATTGCAATACATTTGTTCCATCCATAGTATATTGTTTATTGCCTGACATTAATGTAGTGTACTTTAATTCAGTATCTAACAATGTAATCTTCAATGTGCATTTATGACAGTTGTATGTTTTTGCTTATAAAAGTATGTAAAAATGACATTGGATGGTTGGGCATTTGTCCATTCTTATATTAGATTACATCTGTTTTTCTTTGTTCAGAATATATGGGCATTTAAAAATATGTATAGTGTTTGTATGTTATATAAAGAAATAATTGAAGAGTTAGAAAGTTTTATTATAGAGAGTATGACATGCATAGAGAAAAGCTTAGAGAGATTGAAAGGGTTATAGAAATGGAAGTGGAAACTGGATTTTCATTTGACATGTATCTAACCAAGTCTTCCGTTTCAATAAAATGATTGGATCAGCATGCAAACAATTGGTACTAATTAACTCTACTTTCTAGCAACACTTGGTGAAACAAATGTCTATACATTATCATATATGCTTAGTATCATAACAGAATTTAAAATTTTAAAAAGAATTTAATATCACTTCATTATAAGGTAAAAAGTTGATAGCACTTAGACCTTTGAAAAGAATATATACTGTGATGATATTTCCTTTTGTTGTAAATAATGGGCATAATCCATTCACCCCTATTGCTGCAGTTTGGAGTGGACTATTCCTTTCCTGAGTTTTATTTATATATAGCAGCTTTTATTTTCTTATTTTGTCAAGTATGTAACTAACACATTTTGTTAAAATAAACCCTTTAGTTAAGGCCTTCTTTATTTTCACTACATGTACAATTTTGGATCAATAAGTCTATAGATTGACAGTTATCAGATAGACTTTGATCTGCTACATCTGGTCTGGTGCTTCAGCTATGTTTCTAGAGATTCTTGATAGAATCCAAAGAAGGCTCTGTAATGTTATCAGTTCTGATCTGGTATCTTGGCTTCAGTCATATTCCATTCACTATAACATAGATTTCCTTTGCCTCATCTATGAATATTTTCATGGCAATTGTTCTGATGAGCAATACTTTGACTGCCTGAATTTAAGCACAGTACTAGATTGGCAGCTAGGTCTCATCATTTTACAGTAGGAGTTGATAAGTATAAGTACTATGCTAATGGTTTCTTATCTCACACTTCTTACTCATGGAACTTTGTTCCAGCATTTTGATTTCCTGCTAATTACATTCTTCAAAAATTGAAATGCAACAGCAGTTGTAAGAAGATTACAACTGCTGTTGCATTTCAAATCCCTGGTCTTTTATTCTACCCTCTTCATTAAGGTTTTCTCAGTTTTTTGTTTTTTTTTTCCACTTTCAGTAAACTTTTTCATCTTAGGGGCTTTATCACCTTGTTTCAGTGATTAATGAAAACATCTGAATTTTTCAATGTATAATTGTCAATCTCTGTGACATTTGAAGAATAATTGGATTAAGTAGTTTAACAAGGAAAGATTTTTTGAAAAATAAATATTTTTGTTGTGTAAAATTAATGATTGTTTTTTGCTTTTTTTATCATTAGGCTATGAACTTCTCTATGTAAGTTAGTTACAGAATTGTGTATGTATATATATATATATATATATATATATATATATATATTGGGTTGGCCAAAATTTTACCCAGTTTATTATTATCAGGGTTATTATAAGAAGCTATAACTAATTTTATAAATTTTATATATGTGTGTGTGTGTGTGTGTATTTTATTCTTAACTAATTCTTCTGATATTCTTTCTATTGCAGGAGAAAATGGTCAACCTGTGGTTATAGTCAAAGACAAGCTGTTTCCTGAAGACCGGAAGAAATATGAACAGGGCTGGATGCACAATGCCTTCAACCAGTTCGCCAGTGATAAGATCTCCCTGCATAGAAGCTTACCAGATGTTCGCGATGAAGAGTAAGTGCTTTATATTAGGCATTGCTCAGTTTCAAAACACTTGCTTTGCTGAGATAATTCATTTTAAAATATCATTTTTCAAATTCCTTAATGTCGGTGATATCCTTGCACTTGTCATATTTGAAATGAAACAATGCAAAAGAAATGTTCTCTTCATGTTTCTGTCTACATTAGTTCTATATTTTACTATCCCTGGTGGCATTCCAAAAACCTTTACACAAAGAGAGTGAATATAATTCTTATCTGTAATTTGATTAGTTTTCTCAAAACAAAAAAATTCACTGATGTAACTATTATTTTATTCCTAAGGATGGAAGTTGTCATTTACATCTGCTGCTGTATAGATAAAAGCATCGGAATTTCTTTGAAACTTTCTTTACTTACCATACAGCTGAATCACATGAAGAATGTTTGCCAGAAATTGAAGACAGTGCTTTAGCTATTCTCAGTACTATTAAAATTTTTATATATATATATATATATATATATATATATATATATAACCTTCATGATGGAATGCAGTAGTTACAATAAGTTTGTCTTTGTAATTTACCCCTGAAGATGATCTTGGGAAAGATCAAAAGTACGCAGGTTAACAAAAACTATGGTGTCTTCCTTCCTGGGTTAAATAAGCATAGTAGATTGAGATCTCTAGTCTTGGGTGGTGACCAGTCTAGAAGAAAATTTCTAAAGTAAAATTGTTTTGAAGGCAGTGACAAGCCACTCCACTGTCATTTCCAAGAAGTCATGGCTATTCAGAGAAAATAGTAAATAAAGTCAATGTATAGAGAGCCATGATTGTCTACATCTACAAAAGTCATGACATTTTTTTCTTTTACTACTATAGAACTAAATAACTTCATAATAATCTCTATATAATATCTATTGATGTAATCATTAGAGCAAATGTTGATGAAAGTTTCATGCATTCTTTTAGCAAAATAATTTATTTATATAAATTGATAGCATCATTAAACCATTATCAAGATATTTTCACTGGCTTTCTATAATCTTATAACATCTTTTATAATCATTATAGTGAAAGGAAATGATTACTTATTGTTTAAATGAATTCTGATCTGAGTAAGAATAAGCATAACTTAACAATATGTCAGACAACAAATAAATTATAGCAGGACATTTTAGTTTCAAAATATACATTATTAAATGAATATTGTGCAGTTTCAAGTAATCATTGATATTTCTTATCTCATTGATTTTTGTGCATCCACAGTATTTTATTTTCTTTTGTTAAATCTCTTGTAAAAGGTAACATGCATTTTGTGGAATAGACATCTGTTACACAATAGCAGTGATGTGATTTACATATCTAATCAGGAGTAAGGTTTGGAATTAAATTTATTTTATTTGACTTTGGAAAATAAAACAAAATTTACAGAAAAGGGTGAAAATATTCTCCTTTTTCTTTTTCTTTAAATTTTACATTTTAAATTTTATCTGTTCTGACATTTTGTTTTCTTCTTTATAACATATCAGTAAATTGTTGCCATAAAAAAGAGAAAATGTTTAGAAGATTTTTTTTTTAATTTCTCTGCACTGATTGAAGTATAGAAATGACAAATGTAAGATCAAAATATTCTGTCACTAAAACACAGGCACATTTATTTGCATTAATTTATGCTTATGATTATTTCTCTCATCTTTGTTTTTTTTTATTGAAATAATAACAAGAAAGATGATGGCACTTATCTGAGGATAAATAATAACTCCTCATCCCAGAAATGCAGATAGAAACACAGTCATGTTAATAGTTGTTTTTTTTGTTTGAGGAACCTGACAGCCGAGTTCAAATTCCAGTTGAATCCATTACATTCACTTGCATGCTAGTACCCTTGGGAAAGGTATAAATCCTTTTCTTCTTCGCCCAGCTATGGGTAAATAGCAGGACAGACCGGGTTCTATAGCCTTGGATGGCAGCTGGTCTACAACGGAAAGAAATGGCAGCCTACTGTGGGAAAAAAATCTGCCTTGTCAGTCAGTGTGTATCAAGCATGGCATGTAACTGACTGTCTTGCACAGAAAATTAAGATCACTTTTTAGCAGTGCTATTTTCATTAATTTTTTCAGTAAATTTAACACAGAAACCTAAAGAATTTTAGATCTTTAAATGGAGAATAATTTTTAAATTTGTTCTTTAGAATTTAGTCTAAACTTTTTAAAAGCAATTTGTTTCATTTTCCTAAATATTTTTTTTCAAGTTATTTCTAATTTAGTCAGTGAACCATATGAAATAAGGACGATAAAATCACATTTTTAGCTCTTAATACCAGAGAAAATTTAAAAATGATAAAAATATTCAAATTTTATATATATAATATATATATATATATATACACACACACACGAATGAATGTGGCAATAACAATATCAAGATATATATATATATATATATATATATATATATATTAAAAAGAAGAGGGGTGCCGCAAACGTTTTTGGTTGTAATGTGGATTTATTGAGAAAAAATATTATACTTTGTTTTACATAATTTCACGACACGTGTTTCTGGTCTAGTCTCGCAAACTGTCTTCAGGTGAAAGTGGAGATTTTTACATATTATTAAAAAATAATTAATTTTTCTTCATGTTCAATGTGGAATATTCTCGATATGAGACATTCTGTTTGTGTGTTGGCAATCCGAATTTTCTTTCTAGAATTGTCAATGAAGAGTTCTGCGTGAAGGGTCATAAAACAATTAAGGTTTGTCCAGCGAGTAGTTATCGGCATTTAATCTTTTAATGTTTTAGTGACCTCTATGTGCTCTTGGATCTGTTTCTATTTTGGCGTGTTCCTGTCAGCATGCGTGTATATATGCGTACAGATATTTCCTTACTACGAGGAATTCAAAACTTATTTGTACTTATACACGCATACACACACGCACACACACACACTATCCCACCACAAGTAGTCAGTACACACACACATATACACACATATTTCCCAAGCTACATGGAACCAGTACACACACATACACATATATATATATATATATATATATATATATATATATATATATATATATATATATCTTATCTTAGTGGTTACCCTTGTTTGAGTAGATGCCATATTTTTTTTAAACAGTGTGAATTGCATATACTAACCAGTGCATTCAAGAGAATTAATGAAGAAAATTTTTGCTCTAACAGTTTGAAGCTGCATCCCCTTTTGTAAGGAAGAGCACCATCTGATCCAGTGCATTTCAGTCTAGTCAGTTTAGAGCAATAAGAAATAATTTTAAATTAAATTAAAAATAAAGCACGTCAATTCTTTAGAAATATATATATATATATATATATATATATATATATATATATTGGTGCCTTGTTCTTGATATTGTATTTATTATCTTTTGTAATACAACTTTGAAAAATCTAATAGAAATATTACAAGACCCAAATGATTAAAAGAAATAAATATTTGCAGCAGCATCCATGAACGGATTCATTTTTATGCTTTACTTGTGCAGAGATGTCTTTTTTATTAGATTTATACTCTCAAAGGGTTCATATGTCTCTATCAGATTGCAATTGATTTTTTTCCATTTTTTTTTTTTTTTTTTTTTTCTGCCACAGCTTAACTGATAAGCTCCTTATCACAGAGGACAGATGGTTTTGAAATGTAATCAATATAGCATTTAATGTGTTTTCTGCTGTGGAATCTGACATCTGTCCAGAGGACAGGTCTAGACAAAAGAGAAGTAAGGTTGATCCAGTGGCTGGAGAAAAGAGTAGGGAGAGATCAGATGATAATCTGAGGGGTCACTTTAAGTTGACCTATCAGTGGTTCACATCTACATAGTAATTTACTCTCTATATTTACTGTTTACTCTGTAGTCCATCTCTTCAACTTGGACCACTGACTCTATTGTTATTAGCCGCAATTCAAACAATACTCTCACCTCATTTTGTTTTTGTTTTTTACTTAAATTAAACTTCTTTGCCTCCATTCAGTTTTTTTTTTTTTTTCTCTTTTGCTTCCAGAACCTGTTATCATAGCAAACACAGTAAATGCTTAAAAATAATTGGAAATTAACTTGTCACTTCAACCTGTGATTATATTATGAAGAGAGTTAATTGACTGTTTGCTATGATCCTTTTCTTAAAAGTGGAGGAAGAATATTCTTAAAGGAGCAATTCTGGCTGACACTCAACCAATTCATTGTTAAAATCTAGAGGCACTTTTTGTTTCATTTGGTTCTTAGTATAAACAAAGTAATGTTTGTATGTGACAATGTCATTTCACTTCTCTATAAATGAAAGGAGTTAAGAGAATAAAAGAGACTCTATGTGTGTGGCTAACACAGTTTAGCTTTCATTTATCCTTGACAGTTGTTTATTTATTCAAAAGAGGTTAGAAAAATAATGAACATGAGCAGAATATATTTTTCAGTTGTTCTATGATGATGATAAGAAATAACAAGATTTTTTTCTTTTAAATTTATTTCCTGAAGACTGAAAAAGAAATACACAAGAGAATTTAAACTGTCTTGAATAGAAATTTTAAATCTTTTATCTCAGTAATTCACTTGTTTTATGATATCTTGCTTTGAAAAATCTTGCCAATCTTCCATTTCAACCAAATGCTATTGATAAATAGAATTAATTTGACGAAGAAAAATTACCAAAAATATATCTGAAATGATAAAAGATATTCTTATTATACTTGTCTTATCTTTTGGAAGACACATCAGACTCCAAAAATGTTGTTTTAAACTGGAAATTCTTATTACAGATTGGCAGGATTATTTCTGTTACTTTAGATTTAAGGACTTTGAATCAAAATACCTTTTAATCACCATAATGACATTATAAATTTGTAAATGTTTACATGAACACACACACACACACACACACACACAATGGAGTTCAACATCAAGTGGCAATTGTCTGTTTCATATTTGAATGCAATCTTCAGGCTTAAAGATTGCATCCAAGCATGAGACAATTCCGTGTTGACCGCAGTGTCCACATTTATAT